CTTGATAGCTAGCTGCTTGCGGGAACTGATGACCTTGACCAATGTCCAAATAATACTCTTTAACAAATTTTTGGTGGCCATGAAAAGGACCGTTTTGTAGTGATGGTTGAGTAATTCTGAGCTCGGTGTTCAACACGGATGAGGCTTTCAAGCTGTATGTCGTTTGGAGCGAGGGTGACACGCTTGGCATAGATGACCGACCCGCAGCAACTCACGAAGAGCTACTGATTCCGATCCATAGCATAGCGGTGCAGCTTCTTCCTCCTTTGATGGTTGCTTATGTGGACTCTGCAGTTCGCTGCTTGCAAGCGGCCTTTCGTTGTTACTGGAGAACAATTTTCAACGCCACACGCCGAAAGCACTGCTACTGCTGCTACTGCTGCTACTAATTTCGACGACCGAACACCACCACACAGTGGTGTGGTCGTTGGGAGCGTGTGGTTCTGAGTATGGCGATGAGTGTGCAAAATATTACGCAATTCCATCCTCCCTATTCGCACGCACCCGAGGATCGGAGGCGAATGCCACTTCGACTTGTTTCGCCTACTTACTACTCTCTGACGACTGTGCTGGGGAAGCAGCATATGCATGTAGGTAATTGGTGGATTTGTTAGTTAATTCGACGCTTTTGGACAATGCTGGACATTTACCAGTTTTTCAATAGTTTCTTGTTGAAAATGAACATTCGTTGTTATCAATGCGTAGCCATATTTTTGATCGATTGGTGATAAAATTATTAAAATTGGACCAGGGGTAGCTGAGTTAATAACGTTCAAAATCTTTCTTAATTTGTTACATGTTCCATTTTCGGTTTTCACAAAGTGTACCCCCATATAGAAATTAAAGACGTAGTCCTACGTCAAAAAATACGAAAATAAACCGATTTGCGAATTTGTAGGTAATTGTTCTATAGACAAAGATATTAGTAAAGTTCTCTGGATATTTTTCCAAGACTTCAGGTTGATCAAGTTCTGAGGATCGCCAACTGTTTAAAAATTCAATTTTCTTTGAATACTGTTGGTTGTACCGTAATCTGGGGGAGAATTGATCACCGGGGTAATTTTTTTCTTTCTTTGATTTGTTTTCCGTCGATCTTGTTTTCCGTGCTGAGCACCAATGCTACCGACGCCAGGGAGGCAGCTCCCACACTTGGACCCTACATATCAACCCTACCATCAACTCATGAACCGGGGACCAACGGCTTTACTTCCTTTCCGAAGGCAGGCGTGATCAGAGATGTTATGCCTCAGAACATCCCGGTGGCGCCGACAGAGATTGAACTCCAGGCCTGCTGGGGTGAGAGGTAATCACGCTTACCACTACACCACCGGCGCCGCTCACCGAGGTAAAATTGAACATAATCCGTTGCACTTTTAATTGTCACGTATAACCTGATCGGTGATAGATATCAAGAGAAATCTTAAAAGTATATCATCATGAGACTCCAACACTGAAAATGTATTCTCGTTATTTCTTTGGAACCGGTTCGTAAAAATCAATATCGTACATAAAACACACATTTTACAGATGGTACGAAATATTTGTTTTTCCTGTCATCCGGCTTAATGCTGAAATTATGCCTTAGCCGTATAATATACAAATTCAACTTCATACAATCAAACCAACAACTGCGCTTCTTATCTCCTAAAATACCCATTGTGTGTTGGAGATGGGATACTTCTTTTCTTGAAATATTGTCGGTTTGACCAATTCATGCAAGCTACCACAATAAATCAAATTACTAGTCGCGGTGGTTTTATGTCAGAAAAAAAAAATACATGCAAGTGGCAGAAAAAGCAAACGAAATAGAATTACCGTTCCATGAGTGATTCTTATTTGTCTTTAGCTTTACCATTTCTCGTAGAACAGATACAGCGATGGACAAAGCTCAGATCTGACGATCGCAAGGTTCATGATTCCGAGTCCGGTCTGAAGTCTATTTTTATTTTTTGTTATGTTATTCCTTCCAATGATGAAGTTATTTCTACCCATCCTCACTAACACACTCCACATTTTTCGGTTTCCTCCACCAACACTTGTGGCCCGCTGGTTGGGTGTAGCGATAGCGAGTGTGACAGTTCTAACGAAACTAGCTTCATACAATGTACAAATCAATTTCGTTGCAGAAAACAACGAATAAATTCGTAGAACAAACGAGCGATTTCGTTGTATAAACGAAATTTTATTTCGTGTTTTTCCTAACAAAAAAAAAAAAAATATTGCATAAATTTCAGTTTTATAGACCTGACGTTAAGTAGCATAGCATACAATATCAACATCCAAACAAACGATCATTGGACTCCAACGATTGATGTACTTACCATTCAAGTATCATTTTTTACTAAACCAAGTGTCAATGAAATTATTTAATAAATTACGGTAGAATGTTTCAAATATCAAGAAATCCAGAGATTTTCGCAAATTACCAGTAATTTTGCATTTAACTGTGCATTTAAGACATCTTTAATGGCGTTTCTGCTGGAAATACTTTCACACAAGAGTTTTAGCATCTGAATCGAATTCAGGGAATCCACATTTAATAAGAACAATTTCTAAAAATGCACTGGGAAGCCATTTGAGGGGTTGATCCAATTCACTCCATATCGATATTTTCAAATTTAAGATTTCAAAAATTTCCTAAAAATTAACAAAACATCCAATATTATAAGAAATCATGCTGCAATGGAATGGAGCTGCAGATTTAAATACAATGAGTTTTTTCAGTTTAGTTTATTGTAGAAATTTATTTATTTACGTTAAATAGTGATCCAAATTACGGAATTCAAAAGTTTTCCAGCTAATAGTATCTGATGGAATCTTGAATGATGAATCTAGATTTTATGGACATGTTTGTACATTCTCTATAGGGAGGACCCGTGTCTTGGTGATTTAGCTTTATTGTTAAGAATTAGCACTCCATCAGCTGAATTCCGGGCATAAATTTTAACGAAAAGGTGTAAATTTCTACATATATCTAATATATAAATTTCTTTTTTTTTCGATGAAATTTATGGCCGGAATTCAGCTGCCGGATAGTTTTAATGTCTTAGCACATAAAAAATCCGTACTGTATGTGTACCGTGTGTATTTTTTGATTAAATGAATCAAGAACACTGAAAAAGGATGTGCAAATATTTAATTGGTTCCAAATGGGTATAACCAAAACTAACTTCATTAAAAAAATCTCAATGCTTATGTAAAAATAAATTCAATTATTATCTAGTTACAAACAAGGACACAGTCTTTCAAGTTTCGATTATAATTAAAGTTAAATCTTGATTGACTCCGAATGTTAGTACGTCCGATGCATCGAATAAAAAATTGCTCTACCCAATCGAGGTCCCAATCATTGCTATAAAATAAATATAATATTTTTTTTTGTTTCATAATTAAAATAAAGCTAAGCCTCAATATCATATTATTGTTTACAGAGAAAAATGTACCGTAAAACGGGGGTACATTGTTGTTTTTTAAAGTATATTCTAAATATTTTTTACAGCAATGAATGTTTTTCAAATTTTATATTTTTAAAACAAGTACTGAGGATCTAAGAGTTAATTCGTTAGTAATATGTTGAACTAAAATTAAAGCATTTGCACTATTTTTTTAGCTTTGTGACCGAACTTCAGTATTTTGATTTGGGGTTACTTTGATAATGCTCGATGAATGTAGAAAAAAATAAGTGAAACTCAAACAATTTAGTTCTTTAAATATGAAACTTTGAATGAGTACACTCCCGAGCATAAGTTTAAGGACACCCAAAAAAAACATGACAAATTTGTTATGTTCATATTTTTGTCATGTTACGTCCAATTTTCGTTCTGTTTAGATCATTTGAAAGGTATTGAATGGAACTTTCCTCGTAGGCAAATTGTTTATTATAATTTTCAAATTTTGTGTGCTAAAAGTTCACCCAAAGTTACAATATTTTTCAAAATTTACTCTGAAGAATCGAGACTGATTTTCTCAGAATTGGGCTGGCCAAATTTTGAAATAAAAGTAGTAGTAGAACTCTTAGGGATCGTCCATTAATTATGTCACACTTTCAGGGGGAAGGGGGGTTTGGAAACTGTGACGAGCCTTAAAAAAAACAATTAAGGTCCATATAAAAAATGTGACATAGGGGGGAGGGGAGGTTGAAAATGGGCCAAATTGACGTGACATAATTAATGGACCTTCTCTTATGCTAGACCATTCATACCATTCAAATAACCTTTGGAGATCGAAAATTGAACAAAACATATTTGCATGTTTTTTTGGGGTGTCCTTAAACTTATCATCGGTAGTGTATATAATCAGAAAACTTCATAAGCAATAAGAATACAACATTGAATTTGTGATGGCTGTATCGGAAATACATTTCATAAGTGATGGTTTGAGTGCTTTTTCAAAAAAGCGAAAAACACGAAAATGGTTTTTCAATATTTTTGTAAACTATGTAACACATACTATATAAAAATTATATACGATATCAACGGAAATACCCTAAACTACAATATGGAATCAATGTTTCTTTTTTCACAGCGAGTAAATTATACTATCAAAGTTACCCGCATTATCAAAGATACCCCGTTTTACGGTACCCAAAACAAGCATCTTCGCGAGTTTTTATTTAACCGAAGTTTAGCAAAATTATATAAATTCAACATATTTTTTCCAGATAAATTTTCTAGCTACGCCAATGCCTGGAGAAGATACGAACCATTAGGACCTGGAGGAGCCCCAAGTTGCTGGTCTAAGCCTACTAGAGCTTCCGGGGTGGGCACTCACGGCCTCTGATAGTTCCGGGTCTCAAGGCGTACGGGCGTGGGAGAGTTTTCGGACAAGGGATCCTATCAAACACTACGGTCAACGATTAAACGGTTTATTGATTGATGGCAAAAAAAACCTGGCTTGGCTTTGGTGGTGACGGGTGGAGATCGGGTGATTGTCAGGTGACAGTAGGATGGCGTCCGGTAGGTGACCAGGTGGTGGCTGGGTTTTGTCCGGGTAGCGGCCGGATGGTCGCCGGTAGTAGCCAGATGGCACTCGGACAACGGCCGAGTATACTGCCGGATGAAGGCGAGTTCGGTCGGAAGGGACGGCTGAGTGCGGCCGAAGGGAGCGGCTGAGTGGGGTTACTTAGAGCAGCTGGAAGCAGTGCTGTAAATTTTCATATCATTCGATTGAAGATGAACCAATTCAACCATTCAATCAATTCTGTGTAAACGAATTTTCACATGACCATCATTTGAAGAGCCCCTTTCTCATTTGAAGCTCATTGTCACTGTCAATTGAGTCACTCACTATCATTTGATATACGGCAGTGGAGTATGGAAGAAATCCAGCAAAATGGTCCCGAACAGACAAGTCGATCCGATGTCAGATCAATGTAAGGATAATTTAAGGTCGATGTCGACCCAATGTCGTTCTGTTGTCGGGTTAATTTGGGGTTTATTTCGGGTCAATGTCGGGTCAATGTCGGGTCAATGTCGGGTCAATGTCGGGTCAATGTCGGATCAACATCGGGTTGGGGTTCGGTAGAAGTCAGGATGGTGTCGGGTTGGCTTAGCTTTTTTTGCCTGAATGTCGACCAGAGCTCCGTTTATGTGTAGGTTACACTCAATTGAATGATAGGTATATAGCGTTTCTCAAATGAGAATGATCCATGCCTTCGTCAAATGACTAAGCACCTGATATCACCCATTCGGAGGAGGTCCCTTTTTTATAGCGAATAGCTACTTTTATCATTTTCATCAAAAATTTTCAAATGATTTTACGAATTTACAGCACTGGCTGGAAGCCGTCCGAGCGGTGCCCGGGTGGCGGCTGAGTTGCAGCCCGTCGGTGGACGGATTATGAGCGGGGTTCAATCGGACGGTAGGTGCGGTGATCCCGCAATGATACGGCTTATCACTGTGCACGTGGTCACTGATAGCCGAATGATCGTCACTATCGCACAATTCTCGATTTCTAACAAGCACTAGCAGTGGCTGAATGCGGGACGACCCAGGAGCACACGTCATGCTACTTTGGTGGTTTCCCAACAAACAATTGGAGTTGATCAACAGCTGAATAAGCTATTTTTTAGCTAAAGAAGCATGTTTTTGCCTGAATAAGCTCTTATTCAACGCCCAATGTTTGTTGGGTTGCTACTGGCTTCGCCAGCCTCCGTTATCTGCTCACTCTCCCCCATCGTGGGTTCAGTCACTCTCTTCAGGGAGAGTTTCCGCCCACACTCTCTTCGAGTTCAGTGTATATCGCAACAATAAGCTTTTTCAGCTAAAAAATTGCTTATTCAGCTGTTAATCAAGTCAAATTGTTTGTTGGGATGCCACCCGCCCATGAATTCAAATTGACCGTTGCCGATTAAACTATCTCCCTAATATAAACACAGCTATATCCCGTGTACTAAACAAAATATGAAAACAATGTTACCCATTGGTAACAACCGAAACGTCGGCAATGATAAGTCTAAACTGCCTCATAAAAAAAAACAAATGTCTACGTAAATTAAACACTCGTCCTCAAAACACTATCAATACATTAGGAGAAATTTCCAGAGGCAGCTGTAGGGGAAAAACATCCATGAAATTTTCGATGCAAGTAGGAAGAAAGTTTCAGAAAAAGTTTAGAGAAACTTCCAAAGGAAGTCGGCAGCTACTTCCGGGGGCAAATCGCAGGACTTGTGATAGAACTCGAAAGGACCTTCCAGTAGAAACCGTAAGAATCGTCCGGTGTCAGTCACAAGAAACTTTATCATTTCCGTTACCGATTCGTTCAATTTGAACTGTTCATTGCACCAAGATTTGTCCAGTTTGGAGGTTAAACAAAATTGTTAGTTTGTGGGCAAAGCAGCGCGAGTAGAGAAAAGACACATACATGTTCTCCCATTATATCGAACACGACTGCTCAATACGATTTTCCATTTCGGATCACACCCAGTTCAATTGCACTCTGACCTTCCAATAGCTATATATATATAGATACCATCAATTGAAAGACAGCACAGCCAATTGAATCATGTTTATTTCTCCTTTCTTTTTTCCAGCGATCTCCGTTACAACCGAATCCACGAGATACCATCTGATGCGTTCGACAACCTCGTCCACCTACACACGATTTTCCTCAACGAGAATCAAATCGAGCGGATCCAACCGGGAGCATTCCGGAGCTTGCCATCGCTCAAGTATCTCTACCTGAACAAAAACCGCATCGCAACCATGGCACCGAATGCGTTCGAGGCACTCGACCGACTACAGAGCTTGTAAGTATTGGATGCTTTTCAAAATTGCACACGGGAGTTGATGGATTTCAAGTTCTGAGAATCGTAATTTTCGTTGTGAAATTGAAGGAGTGTTTTCTTGCGGTGGCTTCTTGATTGGTTTGAGTTTGGTAGCAGTGCTGCCATTACTTGATTCAATTTAGTTAATTAATCAATACTGTTTCAATATCCGTTCAAAATTTTCTCCCATAAAGGCATTTCGATTTTTTTTCAAAAAAAAAAAAACTAGCAACGCTGTTCTTCTTGAGTTATGTGGCAATGTACTTTCAAATATTTTATCTAGTTTAAGCACATCAGATTCCCACGCTCGTCGCTCTGCAACCAGAAATCCTTCAACCTGGTACATGGTTCGGATTTTCACTTGCATATTCACGAGCAAAACCACAGCCACAGAGAGCGCGTTGTTAATTCCGAATAGAAAATATCGAATTCGAATATTTGATAAAGTCTTGATTGGAAAGTCCTCCGTAGTGGGTGGGTAGCAGGTTGGAACTGATTTGTGATTTTCGCTACCCCACCACACTACTCTCATATCGATCATCATCTCCACCCGGTTTCACTGAACACGTTCTACTATACGTTCTATCCGATTTGCTTGCAGATATTTACATTTCAACAATATTACTACGTTCGAGCGGCAATCCTTCTCCGACATGCCAGCCCTGGAGCGATTGTAAGTACACTTTCCGTCTTGTAGCGTACGATGAAATAGAAATCAGTGCTTTTTGGGTTCCATGGAAAGGGTTTCTCTCGACTGGTTTTGGCGATTGAAAGTTGCTGGCAGGGGAAGGTTTAGGTTTATGTAACCGATAGGTGGGGGTGGGCGGTGGAAATCAGTAAGTGGATTTTGGTCGGTTATCGGAAATTCTAATGAAGTTCTAGGAGCTTGCTGATTAAGGGTTTCACAAGAGAGGAATTGGTTGATTGACGAAATATGTTTGCGGTTCCGTATATTTTCTTTGAAGGTTAATAATAACCAGAGAAAGTCAATAAGATTTTTTTAGTGTAGCTTTAGTGATTTACACTACCCTTCGTAATAGTACGTTCAGACTACAGAGTTATAACATGATGGTGCTTTCGGTGTTGCAATTATTTGACAACCGTTATAACATGTTATAACTCGCCAGTCTGGCTAGCGTTTAAGTATGGATTCGCATAGAAAATTATTGCAACACTCATTTGAATATTATTGCATCATCTGAAACATGTTAAAACACCTGAAAAACGTGCTGAATACGCTTGTGGAAGATAAAATTTTCGTCTTGGAGCTTGAAAAAGCAAGGTTGCAAATACTCAGTGCTGTAAATTCTCAAAATCATTTGAACATTTTTGATGGAAATGAGAAAAGTAGCTATTCGCTATCAAAGGGGACCTCCTTTGAATGGGTGAAATCAGTTGCTTAGTCATTTGACGAATGTATGGATCATTCTCATTTGAGACACGCTATATATCATTCAATTGAGTGTAACCTACACATAAACGGAGCTCTGGTCGACATTCCGGCGAAAAAGCAAAATCAACCCGACACCAACCTGACTTCTACCAAACCCCAACCCGATGTTGACCCGACATTGACCCAAAATGAACCCAAAATTGACCCGACAACAACACGACATTGGGTCGAAATCGACCTTAAATTGATCCGACAACGGGTCGACTTGTCTGTTCGGGACCATTTTGCTGGGTTTGTTCCATACTCCACTGTCGTATATCAAATGATAGTGAGTGACTCAATTGACAGTGCCAATGAGCTTCAAATGAGAAAGGGGCTCTTCAAATGATGGTCATGTGAGAATTCGTTTACACAGAATTGATTGAATGGTTGTATTGGTTCATCTTCAACCGAATGATATGAAAATTTACAGCACTGGCAAATACTCATTTTAGCTAAAATAATGTTTTTCGGAATAATAAAACCAAAAGATGGTATGATGGCATGTTTTACATGTAATTAGAGGTTACAAAGTATGCGTTTGAAACATAAAACCTATAAATTTTGCTTTCTATGAGTCACAATCAGCGATTTGCTGATCGCTGAGTGAGTGAGTAAGTGAGTGTGTGAAAAATCGCTGATTGTGACTCTCATAAAGTGAAATAAACAGGTTTAATATGTCAAACACATTCTTTGCAACTTCTTCTTGTATCTTACCAATTCAAAATATGATCATGGCATCTAATTATTTCATAATAATAAAAAAAAACATTGTTTTAGCTGAAATGAGTATTTGAAACTTTGTGAAAAAGTACTGATTCACTTCAGAAAAGTTCGAGATCAATACGGAACATACTGATTCTCTTCGGAAAGTACTGAATCACATTGCAAATGGTCTGAAATGGACTTCATAAAAAATCGGAATCACTTCTAAACGAACTGAATCATACCAGATATGTTCGGAATCACTTCGAAGAGCACTGATTCACATCAGAAAAGTTCTAATTCACAACAGAAAGTACTGGCATAGCTTTGGAAAATTCGGAATCACTTCGGAAAGTACTGAATCATTAAAAAAAAAACGGATTCACGTCGGAAAATATTAAATCACATCAGAAAGGGCTGAATTACTTAATCACTTCATAAAAATTAGGAATCACTTCTAAAAAATACTGAATCACTTCAGAAATACTCAGAATCACTTCGGAAAGAACCGAATCACTTCGGAAAGAACTTGAACACTTTGGAGAGCACTGAATCAGTTCAGAAAGGTTCTAAATCTGTTAGAAAAGAACTAGATCACATTAGATATATTTGGAGTCATTTTGGAGAGTACTGAATCACTTTATAAAATTTCGGAATCCCATATAAAATAACTGAATTATCCCAAAAATTTTCGGAATCACTTCTAAAACTACTTCAAAAATTATCGGAATCTTATCGGAAAGCACTGCATAAATGAAGAGAAATTCAGAATCACTTAAAATAGAACTAAAATACGTCTAAAATATTCGGAATCATTACGAAAAGTATCATCATCCCTCTAGGAATGATCTAAATCGCTTCAGAAAGTTTTGAATTACTTTATAAAAAATCGGTAACTTCGGAAAGCACTGCATCACTTCAGAAATGATCGGAACTACTTCGGAAAATATTGAATTACTTTAGATACTATCTAAATCGCTTCGGAAAGAACTGAACCGCATCAGAAATGATCGGAATCACTTCGGCGAGTGTAGAATCTCTTCAGAAATGTTCGGAATCACTTTGTAAAATATTGATTAACATCAGAAAGTGCTGAATTACATTTGAAAAACTCAAAAACACTTCCGAAAGTACTGAATAAAACTTAGGAATTCCTTTTTAATAAACTGAATTACTTCAGAAACTCTCAGGATCACTTCGGAAAGCACTGAATCACTTCGGAAAGGGAGAACGAGATGAACTAGCCAATGAGCTAAAAATCTCCCTAATGAAGTTAAAAAGAAACTTCCGATATTCCTTTATTTAACGTCGGTCTCTGTTCCACAATATAGTGTCAATCACTGACGGAATCGATTGCCATCCATCGAATGTGCAGGAAGGCAGCTTTCACACCTGCGTAGGATATCACACCCATTCAACACACATGGGCCGGGACCAACGGCTATACTTTCCTTCCGAAGGAAGACGTGACGTGACCAGAGAAATGTATGCCTCAGACCCATTGAGGTGAGAAAGCAGTCATGCTTACCACTACACCACCGGCGCCGGCTTAAAAAAAGAAACTTCGGAAAGAACTTAATCACTTTGGAAAACACTGAATCACTTCAGTGATCACATTAGACATATTCGGTCGTAAAATGGAGATAATGAGCAAAACACATTTACATGTTTTTAAAAGGGTGACCCCAAACTTATCATCGGGAGTGTATTTACTTTCTATTCTTCAGAGCTTTTCATTGTGATTCACTACTTTGGGTCCATTTAAGAAGCCTGGCAACTTTTCCAGAATACAAGTGACAGATACAACAGCAACGCATGAATATATTAGCAAATGCACTAACCTATCTTCTGAGGTTGTTATCTTTGCTATCAAATACGTTCGAAAAATTTACCTTTGTGCGGCCGATGACTCATAGCAGTCGTATGAGAAACAAGAAGAGTTGCCAGTCTATTGCAAATTCTCAAGACTTTGAATGGATTTGATTATTTTGATGAGCAGGTTTGAGAGATCGCAAAGGGTTTTAATGGTAAATGCAGGATATTTAAGTACCGATGAATTTCTGTATCTGGAACTGTAAATCATCGACACTAAAACACTACCGCCGTCTTATGAGTACACTGATGAGTCATGGGCAGTACGCTCAACTGATGGCGATAGTGTGTGGACGTCAAACTTAAGGGGATTAACTATGCGCGCCACAGGCGGTGGCACTACCAACTAAGAAAAATTTAACTTGAGCGTTAAAACGCCTTTGTAATAGAAACTAAGTGATCGATTCAGCCTCTGGTGGTGAATAAGAGAACTTCAAAAAGAGTGTTGTGAGTGGAAATTTCTGCCGTAAAGCGGAACACTATTTCACTATACAGTTGAAAAATTTATTTCTGTATCGTTTTTGCAAGGATCCTGCTGGTGTTCAGGAATATTTTTGTTGAGAAAAATGGAGAATTAGAATAATGCCTTAGTGATTATGATCTTCCGGATTTCTTGTGCGTGAATAGTTGAGGTGCAAATCGGCTCAGGTTTGTGTAAAATCGTCAAATAAAACAACTAGGGTAGATGAACCAGTTATAGCTATAGTACCAATTATGGCTATAGTGAAGACATTTTATAAATTATCTGGAAAAAAAACTTCACATGATCATTCGATTAATGCTTACCAGTGTATTTTCAGACATGCCTGTACACTTTAATTATATAAAAATATATGTTCAGGACATTACAACCCGATATAAACGAGTTTGAAAATATGCATGCTTGCAAAAGTAATTTTTGCTATCCGATGGGTACGAAACATGCAAATGAAATATTGATTTTTTTCTTAAACAATAAGCCTTTTTTTTACATTTTACTAGCGTAGACTTTTCATGCACGTGCTCGTTGTTCATGTTAGCAAGTAAAACATTTGAAATATGTCGAAAAAATATAATTTTCGAGTATCACCATAGTAGGTACATTTTTCATTTGGTGTACCCATTATCGCTACAAGCGAAAGTACCTACTGCGATCTGTCACTTTTGGCCATAGCTCCATATTTACATGAGCGTTGTACTTGGAAAAGCAAGTGTTTAGTTGATTTCTCAGTGATTTCTACTTTTTGCTCAGGATTTCTCATCTCAGGTATGAATAAACATTGATTTTACACACTAATAAGCATAATTATAGACAATTGTACTTCATGTAGAATGGCGAAAAGATCAGCATGTAAACAATACTCCGAAGAGGCTATCACATCATGCATCCGAAGCATAAAAGCTGGAAAATCAGTTTATGCCGGATGCAAAGAGTTCGGGATACCCATCTCCACCATTCGATACAGACTAAGTGGCCAATGGCAACAAAAATTCAAGCCTGGACCACACTCGGTGCTATCAACAGAGGAAGAAAATAAAGTTGTCACATGGCTTTGTGGGATGCAGGACCACGGATTTCCTGTTACACGTGAAGCGCTGATCTTCAAAATAGCAGAGTTTCTGTCAGCGAATTCACGGGAGAACCCATTCAAGAATAATCGACCAGGTAAATTTTTATCTTTTTA